ATTGTTGCCGCACCAGCGCCTCCGTCTCTCCTGGCAGTCCCAGTCTCCTCATCTCATCAAATGCAGTGTGTCGGAAGATTGTCTGTATCGTGCCTCGGGGCGCAGGTTTGCCCTATTGAATCAGTTTCAACACTCGCACGACGCGATCAAGTGGCAAATAAAAGGACGAAGCAGCCTTCTTGGCTTCTCCAGCATTGAGCGCAATAGCACAACCGTCAATATTCAGCACTGGGGAGCCGCTGGAGCCTCCACTCGTGCTGCTGACTGCTGCATAGTAAAACGTATTAAAATCATTGTAGGTACTGGAGCCGTAGGACGGCGCGTCTCGGTCCATTTTTTTTTTTTTTGGCCAAAATGCCTGGAAGAATGGACAATTTCTCCCCCGTCACCACGTGACGGTTGGTCGTGGACAAGCTGAAGTTTCGAGACTCCAAGCAGACATGTGGTCCACATATCGAAACTAAATCGTTATGAAACTTCACAGTACATGTATTCGATGTACATGTATTCGATATGAATTTTCAGATTCTTCATAGGCAACCACTTCAACTTGCCCTAACTGCTTGCTCACGACGTGAACTGCGGCGGCGTCGTCTCCTCTTCTTGGCGCTTCGACATCCTATGAATGGTCTGCTTACGTTCATGGCTGCTCTCCTCCACAACCTTCCGCTCCTCGACCGTCTCACATATCGACTCGATCTCGTCTGGGTTGTACTCGATGCCAAAGGCCTGGTACACATTGCGTTCATGGTGAAACGATCAACCAGTCATTCCCCCTCGTCTCTTTCGGTCAGTATGGAGGAGCAGCAGCAACATGACGAGCCAATGCTGAAGACCTGCGACTCGGAGGCCACGTCGTCCTACCAACTCGGCGGTTTCGGTGTGGATGCGGCATAGGCGAGTCCAAGCGCTGACTGCAAAGCTTAGAGAAGGGCATCCGCGCCATCGTGAGTATTCGTTTACTGAGTGTACGCACCTTCGACGGCAACGGCGCGAGCTTCAGCGTGGCCACGGGCTTCGTGGTGGATATGGAGCGCGGACTGATTTTGACCAACCGTCACGTGGTGACGCCCTGGCCCGTTGTGGCTGACGCCATTTCTACCCACTGTATCAACTCCACCCTCTGTAGGCCAGTGCGGTGTCTGTCTGTCTGAACGTCCGTGTGTTCAACGTCTCAGCGCATAAACCTATGGAGTTGCCTTGGCTACACCACTCTTTTACATGCAATACCTCCTATCTTTTAGCTTACTCCTACCTTATAGAATGCTCTCAGAAATACATAAATTACAAATATAGCCCACTAACGGTCACACTTTTCTGCGACATCCCTATTGGTCAATATTGGGCAATTTAGGACCAACCA